TCGTGCCCAGTGACTATCCCACCTGAATTCTAAACAAGAATTTAGATTTTTGTCGGATTTTTGGCCATTTGAGTATAAAAGTTTTTATTATATATCAATCCATGGGTCCCAAGAAAGCCAGTGGTAAGGTTCAAGGCAAGAAATCACATGTGAGGATGACCATAGAGGAAAAACAAGAGATCATTCATAAGCATGAAAATTGTACTCGTGTTGTTGAACTAGCTAGGCAATACAACAAATCCATGTCAACGATATGCACTGTACTTGCCAAGAAAAAGGACTTTGAGTGCTAAAGAGGCAAAAGGCGTATCAACAATCACAAAACAAAGACCACAAATACTTGAGGATGTGGAAAAGTTATTAATTTGGATACACAAGGAGGAGTTAGTGGGTGATAGTGTTTCAGAGGTCATCATTTGTGAGAAAGCCAGGGTATTGCATGAAGACCTTGTAAAGAAAACCCCCTGGAATGAGTGCAAATACGAAAGACTTTAAGACAAGCAGGGGATGGTTTGACAAATTTAGAAAAAGAAGTGGTATTCATAGTGTTGTGAGGCATGGGGAGGCTGCCAGCTCAGACAAACCAGCGGCTGAAAGATTTATTGAAGAGAGGCTGAAGGATACCTATTGCAACAAGTGTTTGTGATGAGACAGGACTGTTCTGGAAAAGATTGCCTAAGAGGACATACATTACCAAGGACAAGAAATCATTGCCCGGACACAAGCCTATGAAAGATAGGTTTACACTTGTGCTGTGTGGAAATGCGAGTGGCAATTTGAAAATTAAACCCTTGCTTGTGTATCATTTTGAAAATCCAAGGGTTTTCAAAAAGTATGGTGTGCAGAAAAAACAAATGTATGTGATGTGGAGGGCTAATAATAAGGCATAATAATACATTTTTTTATGGAGTGGGTGAATGATGTGGTGTGCCCTGCCATACAAAAATATCTGCAGAAGGAAAGTTTGCCACTCAAGGCCCTGCATCTCCTCGACAATGCTTCTGTTCATTCTCCAGGCTTGGAAAATGCATTGTTGAACAGATATAATTTTCTCACAAAGTTCCTTCCTCCTAACACCACTCCTCTAATTCAGCCTATGGACCAGAAAATCATAGCAAATTTTAAGACACTTTATGAAAGGGCACTTTTCTGGAAATGTTTTGAAGTGACTGAAGCCACAAACCTCACCCTCAAAGAGTTCTGGAAACACCATTTTAACATTTGTAGAGCTTTAAAACTCGTTGACAGCCTGACAAGAAGTGACTCAAAGAACCCTGATCTCTGGCTGGAGAAAATTGTGGCCTGAATGTGTGCCAGAGCTGGACTTTGAGGAGTTTGAACCTGTAAATGAAGTGCCTATTGTTGAGGAAATTGTTACTCTGGGCTGGAAAATGGGCTTGGAATTGGATGGTGGAAATGGTGCTGATGTGGAGGAGTTGGTGGAAGAACACAACGAAGAACTGACCCCCGAAGAACTCCAAGCCCTTCAAAAAGAGCAGCAAGAAGAGGCAGCTGAGGATATTTCTCCAGAAGAGGAGGATGAGGCAGAAGAGAATGTCCCTTCCTCAACATTTAGGAAGTGGTGTCAGATGTGGGAAGAAATGCAAACTTGTATTGAAACGACTCGCCCAGAGAAAGCTGTAGTAGGCCGTTGCATTAATCTTTTCAGTGACAATGTGATGATTTACTACAGACAAATGTTGCGATGAGGGAAAAACAATCTTTAATGGATCATTTCATTGTGAGAAAATCAAGCCGTGAGCCACAACCAGGACCTAGTGGTATGCAGGCAAAACGTGCCAGAGGGTGCACTCCAGAAAAATCTTTACTGCCTGATGTTATAATGGAAGGGGACTCCCCTTCCAAACAGTAACACCTCTTCTCCTCCCCCCTTCTCACCATCTTCCATACGCCAACAGGAGTCATCAGCAAGGGTAGGTAATAACTTGAACATACTTTTGTAGTGTAGATTTTGGTGAATTAGGTATAAAATTTAATTTGAAGTGAAGTTTTTGGGGAGTCAGGAACAGATTAATTCATTTCCCGTTATTTCTTATGGGGAAATTAGCTTCGGTTTATGAATTTTTGGGGTATGAACCGTCTCCAGGAACAGATTAAATTCTTAAACCGAGGTACCCCTTGATATTTTTTTAGTTTATTGTCACTTCCTGCAAAACCTGCAATTGCATGCATCAGCCCCAAAACCAGTGGTGGTTGCACTGCAAGAGGTCTCTGTGGAAAGTCACAACAAACAAACAAACCTTGAGGCATGAGCAAAACACCAATGTCCCTGAATCCCAGGTGCAGAGGAAGGCCAGAACAGCCCTTGACTGCCACAAGCAATACGAGGCTCCTACCGAAACTTAGGTTATTCCACACACACAGAGATCACACTAATGTGATGCATCAAATGAACAAATCCACAAGGGCTGTGGATTTACCCTGTCGTAGCTCAGTCGATTAAGGCAGTGTCTGGGATGCTCCCGGACGCAGGTTCGAATCCTCGTCACGGTCCTTGTGGATTTGTTCATTAGGTCATTCTTTCTTCAACTTGTTTGCAAGCAAATATAGAAGGTAACGGATGGGTCCTCACACCGAATTTATATTTGGTAATCGAGGCTCTGGGCTGGATCAATGCAATAAACATTGTCGCTAAGACAGACAACACATAATTACTTTACGTTAATCATTGTCACTCAATTACAATTAATTAATTAATTTGCATTATCAAATCAATAATTATAATATAACATTTCCTTGGTATTGTTTTATCACAAAGACAGAAACAATAACAAGATGTCACTAGACACGACAAACACAGTGGTCTACTCTGTGTGTCCTAGTCCTCCTGTGCACAGGAGTTGTAGCTGATGTGTGGAAAAAGGCTAACATAGCTCCAGTCTACAAAAGTGGCAGCAAGGAAGACCCTCTCAATTATAGACCAGTATCATTGACAAGTGTAATAGTAAAAATATTGGAAAAAATTAATTAAAACTAAATGAGTAGAACACCTAAGCAAAAACGATATAATATCAGACAGTCAGTTTGGTTTTCGATCTGAAAGATCCTGTGTAACAAATTTCCTTAGTTTCTATGATCTAGCCACAGATTTTACAAGAAAAAGATGGTTGGGTTGACTGCATCTATCTGGACCTAAAAAAAAAGGCTTTTGACAGAGTTCCACATAAGAGGTTGTTCTGGAAACTGGAACATATTGGAGGAGTGACAGGTAAGTTTCTAACATGGATGAAAAATTTTCTAACTTACAGTAAAAGAGGGCTTTTAACTTACAGTAAAAGAGGGCTTTTAACTTACAGTAAAAGAGGGCTTTTAACTTACAGTAAAAGAGGGCAGTAATCAGTCATTGTATCGGACTGAAGGAATGTCACAAGTGGAGTACTACAGGGTTCAGTTTTTGCACCGGTAATGTTTATTGTCTACATAAACGATCTACCAGATGGAATACAGAATCATATGAACATGTTTGCTGATGATGCTAAAATAATAGGGAAGATAAGAAACTTAGATGATTGTCATGCCCTTCAAGAAGACCTGGGCAAAATAAGTATATGGAGCACCACTTGGCAAATGGAATTTAATGTGACTAAATGCCATGTTATGGAATGTGGAATAGAACATAGACCCCACACAACCTATCTTGAGGTTATCTTGAAATGATTTTGGGGCTTAGCGTCCCTGCAGCCTGGTCCTCGACCAGGCCTCCTTTTTGTTACACACTCCCAGGAAGCAACCTGTAGCAGCTGTCCAACTCCCAGGTACCTGTTTACTACTAGGTAACGGAGGCATCAGGGTGAAAGAAACGCTGCTCATTTGTTTCCACCTTCACCGGGGATCAAACCTTAGGACTATGAAACCGAAGCGCTGTCCACTCAGCTGTTGGAGCCCCTACTGGTAATTGGGGGCCCATATATATTATGTGAGAAATCCTTAAAGAATTCTGATAAAGAAAAAGATCTAGTGGTGGTTCTAGATAGAAAACTATCACCTGAGGACCACATAAAGAACATCGTGTGAGGAGCCTATCTTGAGGTTATCTTGAGATGATTTCGGGGCTTTTAGTGTCCCCGCGGCCCGGTCCTCGACCAGGCCTCCACCCCCCAGGAAGCACCCCGTGACAGCTGACTATCACCCAGGTACCTATTTTACTGGTAGGTAACAGGGGCATAGGGTGAAAGAAACTCTGCCCATTGTTTCTCGCCGGCGCCTGGGATTGAACCCAGGACCACAGGATCACAAGTCCAGCGTGCTGTCCGCTCGGCCGACCGGCTCCCTCGTGAAAGTGTAGCCTATGCTACACTTTCTAACTTCAGAATTGCTTTTAAATACATGGATGGCAAAATACTAAAGAAATTGTTCATGACTTGTTAGACCAATGCTGGAATATGCAGCAGTTGTATGGTGCCCATATTTGGTGAGTTTGTTTTTCCTTCTTTGTGGGTAGTTAGCTTCAAGGAGCCAACTAGGTTCCCCAGAGACAACCAGAGTTATATGTAATGAAATGGCAGTTTCTGGGTGAGCCCCAGAGGCTCCCTCCCTTTGGTCAATGGCTTTTATCATTCAAGAACTGGAGGGTGGGTAGCCCAGCTCCCCCCTCCCACCATGGGAGGTGGCTAGTTAGACGAAGTGTTTCTTGTTTTTCTTTCTGGTGGAGTTCTTTTGCTATTTAGAGGGCATGGGTTGCAATTTTCAACCAGACAGTGGTCTGTTTTGTTTTCCCTATCTTTCTGGGTGCCTTCCCTGGTCAGTGGCAAGTATGATATACTTTAAATGTAAAGTGTTCATAGGCTATTGCTCTCTGAGGGAGCCAGGTTCTGGCTCGTGGTCCTCAGTAGGCATAAGAACTCTGTGACTGATGACCCCAAATAATATAGCACTATATCAGTTTGGATAACTTGAGGGAACCTCCAGGACATACCCAGTAACTGCCATTTAATTACATTCAATGCAGGTTTTATTCCATATTTTTAATTTTGTTACAGGTAGTGTGTGTGAATCGGTCATACATCTTGGCTCAGGGTCCATTATCACATACTACACCACATTTCTGGCTGATGGTATGGCAACAGAAGGTTAAAGGTATCATCATGCTCAACAAAATTATTGAGAAAAATCAGGTTAGTACAGTACATCAAGAATATTATTGGCATTTAATGCACAGATCTCCAAGCTCTTTCTGGTAAACACCTTTGCCACTGACTGAGTGAATGGGTCAACAAAAAGCCTTGTCCATGATTAAGGGAAACCTTGATATGCCTAATAAGTTTTCTGTCCCTGACATTGAATAAACTATGTCGGCTTAAAACTTTGATGATGTATGTATGGTGATGTAAGGATGACTACTGTTGTCCTCTAATGGTAGGTTTTAGAACGATCTTAATAATAGTCAATGGAAAGGGGATACCTTTAATGATATCCCAGAAGGAGGTGGTGCTTCACTACACTACAATTTTTTACATACATACTCTGGTGCCAGGGCATTAACCCAGTACTCTGGGTTGAAAACAACATCCATGAGAGTTTGCAGTATGGTGAGAGCTAATTATGGTTCTTCTTTATACAGTATATTACAAGGACAGTAAATATATTTCAATTCAAATTTGGAAGTGGTGTCTTAGAATTATACAAGTTATGCAAACATTTTAGAGGTATACTGATTTAACAGTATCAGTGGTATCAAATTATAGCCTGTAAGCCCCCCTCAGTGGCTGTTCAAGCTACCCTGCAGGTACTTTCCAAACCCAGGGTACCACACCATGGTTCTAGAGATTCACAAGTGCCTTCCAGAAGCCAGTACAAGAATTTGGCTCCTTCAATAAATTCAGTAAATGCGTCTTTCCGTGACCTTACTATGTCCGTATATCTTGTTCTTCGTTACACTGTGGGGAGCAGCCCCGAATTTCGGTGCCTTTTGTTTAGTCTTTCAGCGCCTGAATCTCCTTGACTCTGGACACTCATTCTTTGACTAAGTCACTGCTCTCTGGACACTCATTCATTGCCTGTTGTTAAGTGCCTGGCTTCACCCTTATATACATTGGAGTCTCTTTGTATATGTAGCTGATCATGTACATTGCATTACCAATTGCTCTTGGGTCTTCTTCATTCGTCAAATTCATTGTACTCTCTTGTCCCTAGCTACCTGTACTTGGACCATATTTAGGGTCTTTTCCTTGCCTATTTCCGTATTTCCTACCTCTTTACTACACATTGTTGTGTACAGTATCTTGGTATTTGCTTATTGGCTATACTGATGTTGGTGCTAGGTTGGACTATGTACATGTTCAGTTCCCTGGTATTGGACTGCCTCTGTGTTCAGTTATGGAACTGGGTTCTTTCATCTACTCCTTGAGTGTCAGTACCAGCTTCTGTGTTGCTATGTTTGCAGGTGGTTGTAGATTTCTGATCAACCACTCCTGCCCCTATGGTTCCTTTTTCGTTGGGGCAGGAGCAGCTAGGTTATGGTCCTGGCTATGGCCTTTTCTTTGTGTTCCTTTTCCAGAAAGTACAATTTTGTTTTAGTGCGGTACTCGTCCTGTGTAATTCTCCTCATATGTTACTCGGAGACACGTGCATCGTTTTTCCTTGCTGGGGCTGGTTGCGCTGCTCCTGCGGGTTGCGGGGTCGCTGTTTTTTGCTTTGCGTCTCGTGATTCGTGATGCTCATTTTCCTTATGGGCCTCTGCCTGGGGCCCCTGGCTCTTCAGTTTTCGTCACCATTTTGTCCTTGCTGTTTGTCTGCGGTTCGGCTCTTTAGGCAAGTGGATTCTTATTGTCATCTGTTTTTGGCCTTGTTGGTCTTTCAGGGGTCCTGGGGGGGTTCCTCCCGGATGGGGCATGTCTGCTCACCGGGTTTGGGTTCCTGGTTCCCTGGTGGTTGTTCCTTCTGGTTCCTTGCCAGCCTTGGTTGGGGCGCTGCTTTTCTAGGTGCCCAAACCTGAGGGCCTTCCCACAGATCTGCCTCTTTTTTGCTGATCGGTCCAGCCCAGTACAAAGCTGGTTCGTTCTTCCCCTAGAGTCTTCACGTCTGAGGACTTTGTCTTGATTTTCTTGTCCCTTGTGTGAGCACTGGTGGCTTAGTTGTTGGTCTCCCACCTGCGTGCTTCATCTTAGCGGCAGAATGTAGTTCCTGGTGGTCCTTCTGGTTTCCTTATCACTGCGTAGGTGTACTTTGGTCTCTGACAGGGGTGTCTTGTCCTTCCCTTCGGGGTTGTTCCAGGACCGTCGTCTAGTGCTGAATACTGTCGCCTTGTAATGGACGGCCCTGGCGGGCCACTCCAGCTTGCGTTCGGTGTTGCTGTTCCTTCTGCTCAGTTCTGCTAGCTGTCTCGTGCATTGTTTCACCTCTGGTCTGCTCATGCACTTCTGGTGCCGTCCTGCTCGTTGGCCCAGGTGCTCTATATTCATTCTTTCTCCTCAGTTTGTCGTGGCCCCTTCCGCTCCGGTTTATTTTTTCAGGTCTCGTTTTCCTGTTGGTGTTGCCCTCTGGGGGTCGGGTCGAGGAGTTTCCGGCTCTCCTTCGGGGCGCAAGTTTTTTCTGCTTGTTTGGTCCTAGTGGTAGGTTTGTTCATTTGCTGCAGTCTCCTTCTTTTCTAGTGATGTTTGGGTCTGCTGTTTTCTGGTGGGGGCCCTTGGGTGGATGCTTGGTTAGTCAGTCCAGGGGTGCATCTTGTGTGGTATTCGGTTGCGGCTCTTTGCAACCAAATACCACACAAGATGTGGTATCTCTGCGCATTTTGGCCTCTGTGGCCGTGGGAGCGCTTTGGTTTGCCCAGGTTCTCTTCCTTCCTTCCCGTTCCATGGTTCGGGCCTCCCAGGTTGTCTGCAGGGTCCTTTAGTTTGGCCTGTTGTCTTGTTTTTGTGTTAGGGCATGTAGCATCCGCCTCCCGTATCCTTCCCTCTTTTCCTTATCTTTGGTGAGTTGAATGTAATGAAACGCCATTATCTGGGTGCGACCTGGAAACTCCCCGGCATCCCTCCCTCCCTCCTCCTGGTCGGCGGTGTTTTTCATGTATTTTGACATCCAGTCTAAGAACTGCCGGTTGGATCGCCGGCGTGGGGGTCTGGGGCTCCCCCTTCCCCTCCTGGGGAGGAGGGGGTTTGCGGAGATGGCGGCGCGGCGACGTAATGACGTCGTGTTCGTTTGCTAATTTTCGTTTGGGGAGTTCTGTCCACTCGTTTGGCTTTCGGTAGCAATGGTTTCATCAGAATAGGGGTTTGTTTTGGGACGCCTACCTTTCTGGGTGTCAGACCCGGTCAGTGGCAACCATAGAATGCTCCCAACCAATGGGGGTTTCTATAGGCCATTGTTCCTTGCGCCTCTCTGAGGGGGGCCAGGTTCTGGCTCATGGGCCCGGTAGACAAGAACTCCATGCACATTGACTGATGCCAGAAAGCTATACATATCCATTCAGCGTGGATAGCTCCGGGGAGCCTCCGGGTCTTGCCCAGAAAATGGCGTTTCATTACATTTAACACTAGTTGTTTTGTTTTTTGAACATAAAATTAATTATTATATATCATGCCATGGGTCCCAAGAAAATCTGTGGTAAGGTTCAACCTAAGAAAACACATGTGAGGATGACCATAGAGGAATAACAAGAGACCATTCGTAAATATGAAGATGGTGTGCAGGTTGTTGATCTAGCTAGGCAGTACAACAAATCTGTCAACAATATCCACTGTACTTGCTAAGAAAAAGAACATTGAGTGCTATAGTGGCAAAAGGTGTATCAATAATCACGAAACATAGAACACAAACACTTGAGGATGTTGAAAAGTTTATTATTAATTTGGATACACAACAAGCGGGTAATGGCATTTTAGAGTGTTAGCGGATAATAGCATTTCAGAGGCCATCATTTGTGAAAAAGCATGGCTATTGCATGAAGATCTTATAAAGAAAACCCCCTGGAATGAGTGATGCAGATACGAAAGAGTTTTAAGGCGAGCAGAGGATGGTTTGAGAAATTTTGAAAAAATAAGTGGGATTCATAGTGTTGAGGCATGGGGAGGCTGCCAGCTCGGACAAACCAGCAGCTAAAAGATTTGTTGGCGAATTTAAAGATTTTGTGGAGAGTGAAGGATAAAAGGGAGTGAAATGATAAAAGTTACTATGAAAAAAAGTTATTTTCAAAAATGTTTCATTAACCACCATGCTGTGCCAAGTTTGTGAAATTCCCCAGGTGCGCATGAAATAAAGTGTTCCCAAAAATTCTCTTTTCTTTGTAAAATGATAAATTCCCTTTCCTGAACATGTCTATGTAAAAATAAATACCAAATTCCACTTACTTTGGCTGTGGGGACGTGGACAAGGTACGCTGTGACGTCATCAGGGCCTGGTCGCCCGTGTGTGAATCACCCTGACACGGTTGCTCGGGCCACTCAAGCACCGGGTGTTGCCACAAATATATTTTCAATTATTTGTATTATGTATTTCCAATGCGGTTTTATTTGTTTTTTTTATCGTATATGATGCATATTTGTGTCCTTTACAATATCTTGAGGTTATCTTGAGATGATTTCGGGCTTTTAGTGTCCCCGCGGCCCGGTCCTCGACCAGGCCTCCACCCCCAGGAAGCAGCCCGTGACAGCTGACTAACACTCAGGTACCTATTTTACTGCTAGGTAACAGGGGCATAGGGTGAAAGAAACTCTGCCCATTATTTCTCGCCGGCGCCCGGGATCGAACCCGGGACCACAGGATCACAAGTCCAGTGTGCTGTCCGCTCGGCCGACCGGCTCCCATCCATATGTATACAGTAGAATGTTCATAATGTTCCCTGGAACTGTGATACATGTGTCAGTAATGTGTCCACAATAAATGTTTTTTGTCGCAGTATTACCTGTTACAAATTCACTAAAATTACGATATGTACAGTTTCACACACTATTTACACAGTAACACACTGTATTACACACTCAGTACTTTGGAAGTGAGTAATAATTAACAAAGTAGCCCATGGTACACAGCGCGACTTCGCTCTCGGTGCATCAGGTACAGATAAATTTTCGCTTCCTGTTTCTTCATTCTGTGTGCTTGCAAATAACACACTCATGTACACCCTTGTCTTTAGTACTTGTAGGTTGTATGTAGCCAAGCTTGTAAAGCATAAGGTAGTATTGAAAAGATTATAGGAAAAGATCAATATGTAAAGTAGTCTTGAAAAGATCACTTTGTATGATCCCACACAGGAAGATATTCAGCTTACCTCAAGAGTGTCCGTCAGTTAGGAAGATATTCAGGTATTCTTGAAAATATCTATGGGAAACACCACCATGGAAGCCGCTAACACTGTTCATCTATGCTATTTGTATCAGATGCATCATCACTGAACGCAGAAAACGATTCATCTATGTCTCATCTAAATAAATTGGAGATAGCATAGGATTGCAAGGGTGACGCTCAGAGCTACAACTGGATACGCTCGCTGTATCATCCTCATAGGTGCTATATCACTTGCATCCAACCTTTGTGTTAGGTCCTTATTGCGCTTAGCTTCACCAATATTATGACCCTTATGTTCTTCAAACAATAAGGTTTGAATTTCACTGACAGAGCGTTATCTCTCAACTCCACGTCGAACAGGTGTTTGGGAGCCAGAAGCGCGTGCGCCACCCATGGTTGCTCATTCAGTACTAACGCAGCCAGCAACCCTAGGGCATTCTGGGAATTTTTTCCAAGATGGCTGCCTCTCACTGGAGGTCCTAAGAGTCCATTTCGTACACAACCAACCTCGTACATATTTAGAATTGGTACCGAAAAATCTGAGTTTTCTCGGTTGGCTCAGTTTCCCGCCGACCGAGAATACTCGGTTGGCACAGTTAAGTGATTAATGACGCGGCACTGTGGTATAACGCGAGGAGGCGGGAGCACATGGGCTGTTTGGCTTGAACAGGCCTGGACGGGTCCACTTGGGACAGGTAAGCACATTTCGTAGGCTGCTAGACGGAAAAAAAATCTCAATATTTATGGAGCAAACTTCAGCCTGTGCAAATTGTTTGTAGGAAACTTGTATATTTATTATATAATTATTCCTTTTGTTTTTGATTGTGATGAATTGTTCTAAAATTAACGGTAATTCTTATAGTGTATAGGCCCCTCCACATTCCACCTTATCCCCCAGGCAATCTGTCCCAACACTCCCCTCTCTTCTGACACCACCCACCCACCCCACCCTCTCCTACACCATGAGCCTAGAGCCACAGCCGTACAGGATTAATACAGGATTAATACGGTACGGCCCAACTCCTGCCTTTCTGATCCAGACTATTCACCGCTTGTCCGGCTTACTGACCAGATTGGGTAACATCGGTAGCAAGTTAACTGGCTCAGATTTCTGATCCGGCCAAATATCTGCTAGTCCGGCATCCATGGACATTTTTGGCCAGATGGGGAGATAACTTTATCCAGCCACGATTTGCCGGATTAGGGCGATTTCCGGATAGGCAGATTCCGGATTAGTGGGTTTCTACAGTACTCACAGGGCACTTTAGGGCATGTAGCCCTCGGTACACTGTTACAACTAGCACATGCAACACAAACAGCAGGAAACAACAGAAGGGCACAAAATCCAGCAAGAATCTGTGGCCAGAGTTGACATCCGCCCCAGAATGCTTCAGTCACGAACTGAGGTGTGAGTAGCCGGCACATAGGTCCGGGGCTCTCCCCCCCCCCCCTCCCAGAGAGAGGAGGGCTGCGCAGACAAGCGGCACGGCGGCAATGAGTGACGATTGCTTGTTTGCTTGCCTCCTTTGTTTTCCTTTGGGGAGTTCTGTTTCTCTGTTTGGTTTTGGGTTTTTGCAGTTTCCTACCGTGTGGGGTTTGTTTTGAGATGCCTACCTTTCTGGGTGCCTAACTTCGGGCAATGGCAGACAAGGAATACCCCCAAATACAAAGGGGTCTCCGTAAGCCATTGCTCCCTGTGCCTTTCTGAAGGGGCCAGGTTCTGGCTGTGGTCCCCAATAGGCAGGACTACATTGACTGAAGCTCTAGACTAATATAGCATATATCAGTCCTATAGCTCCGGGAAGCCAAAGGGGGCTCCCCACAGAAAAGGGTAATTTCCATTCTGTAGAAAGGCAAAGAATTAGGAGTGACATGATTGAAGTACAGTACATAAAGTATACAAATGGATAAAAAGGTACTGTATAACTAAGGAGATGTTATTAAGGTGATGAATACATCAGTGGAAAATTGAACATAGAACAATGAGTATAAATAGGTTTAAGCTTAGATTCAGGAAAGATATGAGCAAACACTGTCTTGGAAATAGGGTGATTGATCTGTGGAATAAATTACTGTATTGGATAACAATAGAAGTGGGATCACATTAAGGTTTCAAACATAGGTTAGACATATACTTGAATGAGTATATGAGTTTGGGTGGAGCTGGCTTGTATGGGCCAATAGGCCTTATGCAGTTTCATTAATTCTCATGTTCATAAAGATAGTTAAAGGTGGAATCGTAGAATGGTAATTTTGACGAGTGATGGTCTGTGAGCCAAAATCGTTTAGCAATAATAGTTATTTTTTCAGATAAAATGTCATCAGTATTGGCCTCTGGGGGAATGTGATGGAGGTGAAGATACTATGGTGTTTTCAACAGTTGGCCTCAAGGTCGATCTCCTAAATGTCAGTCATCATACACATTACAATTATAGTACACTTAGGTAAGTAATTCTCATGAAGTATCATTAGGTGTCCCAAGAAAGGAGACTGTAGTTATAACCAATTTTTTTCTTTGGTGGTTTGATTAGAAGCTGACAACACTTGTGTGATCCTAAAGGTAAGGTTTCAATTGAAATTAGGTGTATTCTTATACACCTTCTAATTTCATTTTTAAATCCAATTTGAACCTGCACCCAAAATTTCTACACACATGCTCGGTTGCCAATGAATGTTATTAGTAGCCCTGGAGAAAAAATAGTAGCTGTCTCACATTTTGATCCTGTTCTATATACCCCCCCCTCCCCAGCATGACCCAATCCACCCTTTTGTATGAGTATATATGTTAAAATATAGCATTTACACATCAGAATTTTTCCATATCCCATTGAACAAATATTTAAAAAAGTAATTTATATTTTTGTTACTGGCATATGTAATTAGCACCATATAATTGCCTCTGACCCATACCCTTTCCTCTATGAAGGTTTCATAGGTCATTCATATATACCAAAACCAAACCCCTCCCTGTTGATTACCTACTGGAGATTGAGAATCAGTGTCCCCATGGCCCGGTCTCTGACCAGGCTTCCTGGTTACTGGTCTGTAATTAACCAGGCTGTTTGATGTGGCTGCTCACAGCCTGATGTACGAGCATAGCCTGGTTGATCAACACCATCCTTTGAAGGTGCTTGTCGAGTTGCCTTTTGAACACTGCGAAAGATTGGCCAGTTATGCCCCAAATACGTAGGGAAAGAGTGTTGAAAAGTCTTGGGCCTTTGATGTTGATAGTTTTCTCTTGGCTTGCCTATTGCAACTCTTCTTTTTAGTAGGGCTATTTTGCACATCTTACCATGCCTTCTGGTCTCATGTTATATAATATAGTGTCGCTATATTGTCGTATGGCTTGGCATTTTCTCCTGATAATTCCCTTCTGGTCTCATGGGGTGTTATTTCTGTGTGCAGATTTGGAACCAGTCCTAATATTTTACAAATGTAAATTATTATTTATCTCTCCTGCCTGTGCTCCAGTGAATACAGATTTAAAATGTTTTCCATTTGATGTTTTTGTTTTTCATATTTCAGAAAGTGGAATTTATCCTCATTTAATGTCATTTTATTTTCGGTGGCCCATTGAAAGACGTGATTAACATCGGATTTGAGGTTTTCTGTGTTCCCTGTAGTGTCCACGTTCATCAAAATTCTAGTGTCATCTGCAAAGGATGGTGCCTATAGTGTCCTTGTTTACATCTGATATGAGGATGAGGAAAGGTACCAGAGCAAGTACGGTACTTTGGGGAAGTGAGCTTTTCATGGTGGATGATGCAGATTTTACTTTGTTGACTATTGCACTCTGGATTCTGTTCGTTACAAACTTAAAGATCAATATCCCTACCTTGCCAGTAATTCCCTTTGAGCACATTTTGTGTACATTAACACCATTGTTACATTTGTTGAAGGATTTTGCAAAATTGTAAACATGCCAGTCCCCACGCAGCTCTAGTAATATTTTTCTGGTGGGAGCCCTGTTGGCTCCCTGAGGCTATCACACTGATTGCCATACTACTTAGTGCCATCAGTCACAGAATTCTATTGGCCTACCAGGGACCATGCGACAGACCCTGGCCCTCTCAGAGAGGTGCAGGGAGCAATAGGCTATGAACACTTTACATTTAATGTTTATCATCTTTGCCACCATTCAAGGGAAAGGCAGTCAGAAAGATAGGTGATTCAAAACAGACTACTGCATGGTTACAATTAAGGCCACAACCCCAAAATTGCCAAAAGAACTTCCAACAATGAAAACAAACTTCCAAAATTTCCTGAAAATAAAGTTTGGTAGTTTGCCCCCCCCCCCCCCCCCCCTGTCCCCCACCTCCCTTGTTTAGGGGGGAGGATGGACCAGACCAGATCAACTGGGCCCCACCATCCTCAGTTCTATACTCATGGTTGTGCCTAGTGGTTGTCGTCGTTCTAACTCCGGTCTCCCATTTTTCTAGTGTTTTTTTTTTTTTTTTTTTTTTTTTGTCTTTTAGGCTGTTTTATTAGCATTGTTATTGTTTTAGTTTGGTGTACTGGAGCTACATGTGCTCAGGGCTACCTTCCCTGTGCACTGTGTACGTACTACCCTTGCGTGATCAGGGTTGCCTTCACTGGGGTGTTCAGGAAACGCTCCCTTCAGGAGGGAGCTTCCTCGTTTCAGGTGGTCCTTGCCCTTCGTATAAGCCAGTAGTCTATGACTGACTTCAAACACTCCACCTGGCCCTCACACACTCCACCAGGCCCCTTTCCTCAGATATAGGAGTGTTTCTGTGGGGAGCCCCTACGGCTCCCTGGAGCTTATCAGGCTAATGTATGTTATATTAGACCGGAACATTAGCTAAGGAGTTCAGACCTACCAGGGACCAGCGCCAGAACCTGGCCCCTTCAGAGAGGTTTCAGGGAGCAATGTCCCTGGAAAACTCCCTTGTGGTTGGGGTTTTAATTATCTGCCATCGACAAGGGTGAGGCACCCAGAAAGGTAGGCATAACAAAACAAACCCCACATGGTAAAAAACTAAAAAAAAAACAAACAGAGCCCGCGGCTCCGCCTCTTTCGGCAGGTCGGATCGGTCCTGTACGTGACTGCTTCGGCCTTCTCCTCAGCTCTTTGCGTCTGGTATTTTGACGCGGGTATCATCATCTCTGTGGTGATCAGGTGGCTTTGTTGATGGTGTCCCACTTGCGAGCTTTGTCTTGGCGACAGTATGACGTTCCTGGTGTTTCTATGCACATTTTCTTGCTCTTTGTAGGTTGTCTTCTCTTTCGCATCGGTTGTCTTGTCCTTTCTTGGGTTTTCAGGACTACAATTATTTGACATCTGCTCCGTTTCGTACGCTTTCTCGTGTTTTGTTTCACCTCCAGGCCTGCTCATGTGTCGCCCGAGCAGTCCTGGTCCTTGATCAGGGTGCCTTCTTATCTTCTCCTCAGTGGTAGCCCCTTCGGTTCAGGTTTCTGCTCTTTGGTACTGGTGGTAGGTTTGTATGTTTGCAGCCTTTCTCCGTCCTGGCGACGGTCGAGACGGCTGTTTTCCGAGGGGTTCTTGGGTTATTGATGCTTGATTGGTTTGGCTGGGGGTGCGTCCTGTGTGGTCCGGTTGCGCTTTTTGCCGTTACCTGCGTACCGTGTCAGGGGATGCGCTTTGGGTTGATCCGGTTCCCCTCGTTCAATGTTTCAGGGCTCGGGTCTCCCAGGTCGTCCGCAGAGTTTTTCAGTCTTCCAGCCTGCGGTCTGTCCTTGCGCCCGTGCTGTTCGGACGTTTGCAGCTTTTGCTGCCCCCACACACACACACACTCTGCTGCTCTCCCCCACACCCCCCCCCTCACTGTTGCTCTCCCCCACACCCCCCCCTCACTGCTGCTCTCCCCCCACACACCCCCCCTCACTGCTGCTCTCCCCCACACACCCCCCCTCACTGCTGCTCTCCCCCCCCCCCCCCCCTCACTGCTGCTCTCCCCCACACCCCCCCCCCCTCACTGCTGCTCTCCCCCACACCCCCCCCTCACTGCTGCTCTCCCCCACACCCCCCCCTCACTGCTGCTCTCCCCCACACCCCCCCTCACTGCTGCTCTCCCCCACACCCCCCCTCACTGCTGCTCTCCCCCACACCCCCCCCCTCACTGCTGCTCTCCCCCACACCCCCCCCCCCCCCTCACTGCTGCTCTCCACCACACCCCCCCTCACTGCTGCTTTCCCTCACTCCCCCCCTCACTGCTGCTCTCCCCCCACACCCCCCCTCACTGCTGCTCTCCCCCACACCCCCCCTCACTGCTGCTCTCCCCCACACCTCCCCCCCTCATCGCTGCTCTCCCCCACCCCCACCCCCTCTCACTGCTGCTCTTCTCCCACACCCTCACTCCTGCTCTTCCCCTCCCCCCTCGAAGGAACCCTTCTGGTAGGTGGCTTAGTAGATTGCCAGCCAGAGAGCCTGGAGAATCTCCATCTAATACAATAAAGTACACTCTACCCCATCCCTCCCCTCCCCTCCCCTCCCCCCCTCTATTCATCCATCCCTCCCTGCCTCCATCCATCCATCCATCCCTGTGCAGATATGTCCAACAAAGTCACAGAATGAACTCTCCGGCCTCATGACAAATCTAAACAATGAGCCGTGTATCTGTGACGTCACAGAGTAGAAGGCACTAAAGTGGTGGACCAAGTGGCTGTCTGTACAAAATATATCTTACTTGAATGTTACTTGAAATAATACCGACACTTTGGAAATACCGGAGCCCCGCATTTAACAACCTGGGTACAGCCCCATATAGGCCGTTAAATCGAGTTGATATTGTAATTGGCATCAGATGGATCAGAAAATCAAGTTCTGGCCTTAGCTTCTTCCTTGCTGAACCAAGACTCAAGCAGTTAAGCCTCACCAGCAAAGAGGTATGGCCATCTCTTGTAATGAACGCTGAACATTTGTCCAAGTTGCCTCGCTGTTTGACCCAAAAGGGGGTCAACTTCATTTGTCATGGTAACTACTGCAGAGCTTACGTGGGAATGAAGATTATAGTGAGATACACCTTGCATAAAACACAGAAATACTGGTCAGAATGTAACTTGAAATTGAAGTTATGTAATTATTTGGACATCAAACTTAATCATAACTGCGAGGTGTACATGCAACATCTCAAAAAAAAAAAAAAACATTCAATTCGACGTGCAATATGAGGAAATGTAGTTATCAGTGAAACATTGAAATCAATAAACAAGTAAATGAACACAATGGAATCAAAATGTAATGTAAAAAATATATACTGGAACACTAACACACACCAAATTGTAATAATCAGAGGCAAGGTCTTGTTACTTGACTTTCAGGAACTGTAGTTACATTAATTAAATGAAAGAAACTATTTGTATAAATAATACAAGTTACTTTTATAGAAAGTGGTAGAACAACTGCTGGAAATAAGTTAAAAATGCTGAAACATAGGCAGTGTAAGTGACACTTAAATTGTGAACATGCTAGGGTAATGTCTAAATCACAATACTCAAGGTAACCAGCTCTAAAGCAAAACTGCCTGTTGGGTTGGAGGTTCGAGTTCTGGACTACCTCGATGACTGGCTTGTGTGGGCTCCTAATCAGTCCTCGTGTCTGCTCGCCAGGGACTAGGTTCTTTCCCAGCTCGCCGGGTTCGGGGTCCTGGTGATCTGGAGGAAGTCCCATTGGGGTTCCTTTCAGGTTCGGTCTTGTGTGGGACTCTCTAACTGCTTCCTTGTCTCTTCCTCCGAAGGCTCTGCTACGACTGCGGTCCCTCCTTTGCCGGTTTCTTGGGGTCTCCTGGGTCACGAGGCAGTTGCTCGCGGGTTTGTGCGGGAGTCTGAACCTTGCTGTGATGGTCTACCCGCTGGGCTGGTTTTGGGTTTGGTGGCTGTTATGGTTTGGTGGCGGACAGTGGCGCAGCAGCTGTAGTGACGTCAAGTTTTTTGATGGGGGAATTCCGTTTGCTAGTTTGGCTTTCGGTTTGCAATTTTTCACCAGCTGTAGTTTGTTTTGGGACTCCAATCTTTCTGGGTACCTGACCTGGTAGACTGCAGATATACACTGCTTCCAACTACACGGGCCTGACAACTGAGTGGACAGCGCTTCGGATTCGTAGTCCTGAGGTTCCGGGTTCGATCCCCGGTGGAGGCGGAGACAAATGGGCAAAACGTTTTTTTTCACCCTGATGCCCCTGTTACCTGGCAGTAAATAGGCACCTGGGAGTTAGACAACTGCTACGAGCTGCTTCCTGGGGGTGTGTAACAAAAGGAGGCCTGGTCGAGGACTGGGGCGCGGGGACGCTAAGCCCCGAAATCGTCTCAAGATAACGAGAATGTCTGTAGGCCATTACTCCTTGTGCATCTCTAAAGGGAGGGGGGGGGGGCCAGGTTCTGGCTCGTCCCACCGTCTAATATATACTGCATACACATCAGTCAGAAAATGGCGTTTCATTACATTCAACGCTGGTTCTTAGTGCAGTTATGTATTGGCCTGTCAATATTGGAATTTATATTACGGAATGTGTGAAATATTGACAAGGACAAATATTTGTCACTAATGTGCTCTTAATATTATATTCTTAAACAATATAATATTCTCCCTTTTTGTAGTTTTCACTGTGTAAATGGTTAAACAGGTTATATATAACTACAGTAGTAGTTATATTCTAAGTTATATTTTATTAAAAGAAAAATTAATCATTAACTGTTTCTTTTTCAGATTAACAGAAATATCATCAGGAAACATTCGCTTAATCTTACATTTTCATTACACAACATGGCCAGATTTTGGTGTTCCTCAATCACCTGAAGCATTTTACAAGTTCCTAAATGTAGTACGAGCTAGTGGTGTCTTAGAGCGAGATGTTGGGCCATCTGTTGTTCACTGTTCGGCTGGAATTGGTCGTTCTGGAACATTCTGCTTGGTTGATACCATTCTCATGATGGTGAGTTTCTTGATAAATGTATTTCAGCTTATCATCCTGTTTAGTTAGTACTTGCAGTAACAATGAGGGGCCATAGTACATATGTGACGTAATGGACAATTAGAAAGTAGAAATTGTTACAATTGAATGTGGATAAACCTGAAAAGGTTTTGTGTATATCTTGCAAACGCAACCTAAACTAACCTAACATAACCTTCCTAGGCCTTACACACACAGAGGCCTAATATAGTATATATATATATATATATATATATATATATATTTATATATATATATATATATATATATATATATATATATATATATATATATATATATATATATATATACACATACAGAGCACCACTTGGTTTCTGAACCCCTTGGGGACGAGACCCGTCGGTTAACATGTAAGTTCGTATACGAGAAATAGAGGGGAAAAAATAAACTAGAAATGTAAAAAGAAATTTTTCCAAAAAAATTTACGAAAAAACTCTAGGGAAAAAAATCGACAGGTTCATAGCGTAAATGCGACTGTGTTTTGTTTGTACTCACCAATAAGTGAAGTCCTGATCCGCTTTATAAAAGTCCTTAAGGGGGCATGGTATCAGGATTTAAAAAATTGTTGTAGGGTATTCATAATTTATTATCCTGATACATGTGAAAGGTGCTGCACCTAGGCCAAGTTTCAGCATCTCAGCCTAAATAGAGACGGAAAAAAAAAAAAAAAAAAAAAAAAACGAATTTTTCAACCATGTTCAATTGATTTCATAGCCCTCAATTGTGAACCAAAATCATTTATACGACACTCAGCTATGACCTTACTATATAATAAAGATTTGCATGTCACATCATTATCCCAAATGTATTTAATGCAATAATGCAGATTTCATAAAAGTTTCCCAAAAATGTATGCAACAAAATGAAGTGTATCATTATTTATAAAATCAATAAATCTACGTAGATAAGAATAATGAAATGCGTTTATAGAGGCATAAACTCTACATATAATGTGCAAGTTTCATGTAAATTGAATAATAAATAAAGGCTGTGAAACGAGATCTAGTTGTAAAAGTTGGAGTTGCGTAGCGCGCTCGACAAGTTTACTCAACCTGCGGTCACTCGTGACTGGTGATTTACGCATTGCGGCCAGCTCGTATGGAGAGCTCGCATGCATCTAGCTGTCAATGCTTTTCTCTTGTTCGTTTGGTAAGTCATATTGCAGTACAAATAGCTAAAAATAGCAAAAATAGCATGTTCTGAGAGATATTGTGTGAGCGCGTCAGCATACATCCTCTCTCCATGAGAGACACACAGTCACTGACTGCACCACCCTCGTGTCAGACAATAGTGTTGCCATATCTGTTAGTTTATATTCATTTTATGCATAACATGTTATTTTCAACGCTATTACGAAAAATAAGACATCTACAACGTAAGATACAATACCCCGCGGCGTACTCACGGCGCGAGGACCAGATTCACGAAAGTTGCAGCGGGAAATTTGACTCTAATTACGTTATTTTTCAAGATATCATTAAACGGTTTGGACCACAGTGTTGCCAGAACGTTGTAGTATTTTTCGTAATTTTTCGTAAATATTCCATTTTTCATCGGATTTTCGGTTACCATGTCCCCTTAATTGTTCCTAACTGATTATTAAGACGTCTGGCAAACATCCTCTGGATGTTTCCTGCCAGCCTGCAGGCACATCCTGCCTAAAATATACGATGATGTACTGTACATTTAAGAAACAAATCTGGGTCACAGGTCTGTGGAGTGTGGTTAGGCTTACGGAGTCAGCCGGTCCCTCCCCCACCACCGATACAATGAACTTTGTTGGATTTACGTGTTTTTATACCCCTGGATGTTGGCAAGTATAAATGATGTTATCGTGTTTGTGGAAGTGCAGGGATGCTTTACTTGGTTTTAATATCTGTCCAGGGCATCGGCTGCGGTTTTTAAGCTATTTGCACCGATACTCCAGGAGGCAGTGTCGCTTCTTTGCGTTTCGCCTCGTGTGTCACAAGGCCATCCTCTTGCTTTCCTTGGAATCCGCTTAGGCCCTGACTTTTAGATTTTTTTGCCTTTTTGTCCGTTGTTGTTTGCAGACAGTGCTGTGACTCAGTTTCTGCAGGCTCAGTTTCTGTCTCGTCTATTTGCCGTCCTCTTTCGGAGTTGTTGGTTCTTTAAGGTGGCCGTTCTTGGGCCTCCCAGAAGGGTTATACCAGGGCTCGGGGTTGTCCTGGTCGAGGTGGCCCCTTATCTTGAGGTTATCTTGAGATGATTTCGGGGCTTTTAGTGTCCCCGCGGCCCGGTCCTCGACCAGGCCTCCACCCCCAGGAAGCAGCCCGTGACAGCTGACTAACTCCCAGGTACCTATTTACTGCTAGGTAACAGGGGCATTCAGGGTGAAAGAAACTTTGCCCATTTGTTTCTGCCTCGTGCGGGAATCGAACCCGCGCCACAGAATTACGAGTCCTGCGCGCTATCCACCAGGCTACGAGGCCCCCCCCCCCCTGGCCCCCTTGGTGCCAGTTTCAGAATTTCCTTCGGAGACAGTGTCGTTTGGTCGGCGAAATGCTCGCTCTGCTCATTGGCCGGCTTCTCGTAATGGGCGTAGGCCCTTTCGCAGTTTGCCTAGTTGGTAGGGCGCTAGGGGGGTTGCTGGCTCTGTTTGCCCAGGCTTGGTCCCATGATTTGTGGGTGTATCAGGTAGACTATGCTACAGCCCTCCCATCCTCAGTGTTACTCCTCACACAGCACAGCGCAAATTGGGTCGTCTGCTGGGTCATTTGGTGTTGCCAGTTGTTTTGCATTCGGGTTTGGGCACGTGGATTCCGCCTCCCGGGTTTGTCCCACCTTTGTCCTTGGCTTTGGGTAGTTAGCTCTGGGGAGCCAAAGGGGCTCCCCCCCCCCCCCTTCCAGAAAACCAGCATTGACTGTAATGAAATGCCATTTTCTGGTGTAAGACCCAGAGGCTCCTGACAACCCTCCCTCCACCCGGTTGAGTTTTTTTCGCGTGTTTTGACATCCAGCCTCAAACTGATGGGGTGGATTGCCGGCATAGTGAGTATGGGCCTCCCCCCCCCTTCCCCTCTCCCGAGGAGGGGGGAGCTGAGCAGACATGCGGCGAGGCTCGTGTGACGTCATGCTCATTTGCTCGTTTTCGATTGGGGAGTTCTGTCCACTCGTTAGTCTTCTTTTGTGGTTTTAACCAGAATAGGGGTTTGTTTTAAGGTGCTTACCTTTCTGGGTGTGTGGCCCGGTTGATGGCAGACATAGAATGCGCCAAATCACATGTGCATTTCTATAGGCTATTGTTCCTCGTGCCTCTCTGAGGGGGCCAGGTTCTGGCTTGTGGTCCCCAGTAGCCCTAGAACTCCATTCACACTGACTGATGCCAAAATCTAATAATATACATATCAGCCTAGACAGCTCCGGGGAGCCTCCGGGTCTCACACAGAAAATGGCGTTTCATTACATTCAACGCTGGTGTTTTTAGTTACGTGGGTAAAGTTTCTTTTGAATAAGCTGTGTATATCATATATTAAAAGCTAAACATGAGAGAGTAATTATTAGTAAATCACTTCTGTATTAGTGTTTATATATTTTAGACCTTGAATCTCTATTGCATTTCAGCTCTCCAAAGGCCTTTGTGGTTCTGGTCAGGGCAAGGTGGTTGAAGTATTGCTGGACATGAGACGGCAGCGTATGGGGCTTATTCAGACTCATGATCAGCTAAGGTTCTCTTATCTGGCAATTGTCTATGGGGCACATAAACTCATTGAGATGAATGACAAGGTAAGACATTAAAATCATTGTTTCCGCTCATTTTATATAAATACAGGTTGGTATTGAATAAGCGATAATTTCTGGAGGGGCCATAAAATGGTTCCCTGTACACTACACAGAAATCACAATAGCGCGATGCATCAAATGAACAAATCCACAAGGGCCGTGACGAGGGTTCGAACCTACGTCTGAGAGGATCCCAGACACTGCCTTAATCGACTGAGCTACGACATGGTATAAGAATTGCAACCAGGAAATCATCCTGATTTACCAACGGATCCTGCAGTCTCTCCAAGACACATCGAGGAAACACCGAGGACACGAGGGTCCTCTTGGGGGCCTTGGGCCCCACTGGACTTCAGGTGCTCTACCTTGGGCCCCATTACCCGCTGGTGCTCTACCTACCCGCATCGAGGGGGGTTCGATGCGGTCCTTGGCCCTTTGGCGCTGGTTGCTTTGAGTAACTCGTCTGCTGAGTTTTTGAGGTTTGGCTCTCTTGGCGGTTCACGTTCGGGGTGTGTTCAATGTCTTGGCGGACGGCCTGTCTCGATCTGATTCCCTGTCCTCGGAATGGACAGTCGATGCTGACTCCTTCCATTGGCTCTGCCAGATGTTCGGGCGCAGAGGTAAACCTCTTCGCGCCAGCGTTGTCGCAGTTCCTTCCGCTGTATGTGGCGCCCTTCCCCGACTGTGAGGCCGTCGGGGTCGATGCCTTTCTGCAGGACTGGTCAAGGTGGGGCACGAGGAGCAATGGCTTTTAGAATAGCACATGTGATTTGAAGCATTCTATGTCTGCCGTCGTTGCTTTCCCCACCCAAAAACGTAAGCATCGCAAAACAAACCCCTATTCTCGCTGAAGCTACGACAAAGTCAAACTAGTGGACAGCACTCCCCAAAGAAAAACAAGCAAACGAGCATGATGTCACCAATTGCTGCATCGCCTTCTGTGCAGCTTCCCCCTCCCCAGAAGGGGGAGCCCCAGACCCCTCGCGCCTGCAGCCCACACCTTCAGTCCTGAGGCTCGATGTCAAAATACGCAAAAAAGCCGCCGACCAGAGGAAGGGAAGGATAGATGTTGGGGAGCCTCCGGGTCTCGCCCAGAAAATGGCATTTCATTACATTCAACGTTGAATTTTCTGGGGGGAGCCCCTTCAGCTCCCAGGAGCTATCTACCCAAAGACAAGGACAGAAGAGGGACAAACCCAGGAGGCAGAAACCTCGCGCCCGAAACCCAAAAGCAAAACAACTAGCAACACCGAAAGACCCTGCGGACGATTTTGCGAAAACTTGATTTTATACGCATGGGGGGAATATCACAATAAACTTGGCGCATCACAGTGGTTAAGGGGCCTGATGACTGAGGAGTAAATTTTCAAATATGAAATATAGTGAAACATTTTAAACAAATCTCCCGTTATTTGGCATCAGCGTCACGAAATTTTCGTCCCGATGTTAAGAAATGGATTTTTTTTTTTTAAATTTAAACAAAAATAAATGCGTGCGAGACAATTGGTACTGATAATAACGATAACACCACCTATTTACTGGGAATCAGGGATAAAGTGATGCAAGCACCTGTCCGATGCACAAAGAAGAATAGTAGTAGTAAGGAGGGTTCACAAAATTGATATGCAGCTGGTGCCATCTGGAGAGCCAGATTTCACGCATAATAATGAGTTAGTATGTTGTTATTCTGTATTTTATTATACAGCATTAAATACATTGCCCAATGGTAATATTTCTTATGTTCCTTTGAATGAAAAGCTTGTTTTTTTCTCTCCTTTGTTTCAATACAGATTTTGTTGTAACTTATACATCCTGTAGAATGCATATCCGGCACTAAGCATGTGAAGTTGGAACGAAATTGGTCAACATGTTAATTAGCCACAGTTGGCAGAAGTTGTGACTTTTAATTTTTTTGGAGCTGATTTATTTACAGATTTCAAACTATTCTCTTTCTCTGTTTAGGTGGTATTGATGAATGAAGACCCGATTAGGTCCTTATCAATTATATATGCACAATAATGTTACTGTAATATATGTTTGTTATAACTAACCTTTCCCTATACAGTGGAACCTCGAGTGACGAGCGCCTCAATCTACAAGCATTTTGAATAATGAGCACGCCACTCGGCGAAAACTTGTCTTGATTGACGAGCTTTCGCTTGATTAACGAGAAAAGCACATAGTGCTTCCTAGCGTTCCTGCTGGTTCTCGCAAATTCTTGGACACCTCCGACGATGGAAATAACTGTTGTTTTTGTTTTAAAGATGCTAATGATGCTGGGTTGTTGCAAAGCATTGATTTGTTTTTTAGACAAAATTAGAAAAAAAATTAAAAAAATTGAAAAAGAACAAATATAAAAAAAAAGCGTTGAATGTAATGAAACGCCATTCTCTGGGTGAGACCCGGAGTTAACTGCCCACAGAGGAAAAACAGAGGGACTTACCCGGGAGGCAGCCGCTGCTCACTCAACCCGAAGTCGAGACAACTAGCTGCAACCTCCGACCCAAGCGATACAGGCCCTACTAGGCCCAGGAACATTCACGAGGTATGGATGTTCAGCCCATAACATGTTTCCAAAGACGGCATCAAGAGCAGCGAACTTACGAACGTCATAGGCATGGGGATAGACCTCAGGCTGGTTAACCTTAATAACCCTGCGGACGACCTGGGAGACTCGTACCCGCGAACAGGGAAGAAGGGAAACCGGATCAACCCAAAGCCCTTCCCCGGACACAGAAGCCGTTGCACGCAAATAACAGCGGAGGGCCGCAACCGGACACAAAACATGATGCACACCCCTGGGAGGAGGTGCAAGGAGACGGCTACAGATGAATAAACCGATCTCCATGACTGAAAGAGCAGAAACGCATGCGTCAGAGGAGAGCATGAAGGTCTCCGACCCGACCCCCCAGAGGCCAATGCCAACAGGAAGAAAGCCTTCGAGAAACGAGTAATGAAATGCCATTCCATGTAATGAAATGGCATTTCATTACATTCAATGCTGTTTTTTTTATTATCCATTAACTTCTTTCAATATACTGTATTCCACTTTTATATCTGGGCTGAAACCTCTCAATTTCATGAAAGTGAGAATCAAGGTAATGATTATGGAAATGTATAATGTGTTGTGAGATAAAGTATGCTGCACTTAACATTGGGACTAGTGATACCTACCTTGAAATGTTTAAATAAAAACATATTTAGTTAAAATTGAAAATAAGTTAAAGCTATAGTTTTGGCGCTACAAGCCAGTGGAATATAAGCTGTGTTTTATATATAAATTACCTCATTCATATTTTGTAATGGAGAGTTCGTAGATAATTAAAGCTATAGATATTGTACAATTATAATGTGCTTTGATTTGTTTTTATACCCATTTCATGAAATTGCTTAACTCTTGAATTCAATATACAGTTTCACTGTTAAATTGGGATTTAAATGCCACATTGGTTAACCAGTATTTTATTATACGGTTATACTATAAGTTATTTATCAGTAGATTAAATTGGCTGTTGAACTATGTTGGAAGGCCATATACAGTACAGAGGACTTCTTGGTTTGTGAACCCGGTTATAGTGTCAATTCGTAAATGAGAAATGAAGGAAAATGGCGAGAAACAAATCTAGGGGAAAAATTGACAGGTTCATAGCATAAATGCGACAGTATTTTGTTTGCACTCAACAATAAGAGAAGTCCTGATCCATTTCTCCCTCCCACCCTCACTACTGCTGGTCTCCCTCCCACCCTCACTACTGCTGGTCTCCCTCCCACCCTCACTACTGCTGGTCTCCCTCCCACCCTCACTACTGCTGGTCTCCCTCCCAGCCTCACTACTGCTGGTCTCCCTCCCACCCTCACTACTGCTGGTCTCCCTCCCACCCTCACTACTGCTGGTCTCCCTCCCACCCTCACTACTGCTGCTCTCCCTCCCACCCTCACTACTGCTGCTCTCCCTCCCACCCTCACTACTGCTGCTCTCCCTCCCACCCTCACTACTGCTGGTCTCCCTCCCACCCTCACTACTGCTGCTCTCCCTCCCACCCTCACTACTGCTGCTCTCCCTTCCACCCTCACTACTGCTGCTCTCCCTCCCACCCTCACTACTGCTGGTCTCCCTCCCACCCTCACTACTGCTGGTCTCCCTCCCACCCTCACTACTGCTGGTCTCCCTCCCACCCTCACTACTGCTGGTCTCCCTCCCACCCTCACTACTGCTGCTCTCCCTCCCACCCTCACTACTGCTGCTCTCCCTCCCTCCCTTCCCCCAGGTGGCTAACTTTGTAGATTGCCAGCCAGAGATAGCCTGGAGAATCTCCATCTAATACAATAGAGAGTTCATGAAACAAGTATTTTGATAACTTTTTATTATCTTAATAATATTACTTAACAAAATCTGTAACCAAAAATGTATATGATGATGTACATCCAGAATTTAAGAAACAAATCTGACTAATGGGGTTGAGTGTGATAGGCTTATCGGATTGAGCCCATCCTTAAGCCCACTACTGACAGACCTCCCCCCACCCCCTCTACATCCCATATACACACTGCTTCAAGGTTATGTAGTTCAACTGTCCCTAATTCATAAGTAAAAATATACTTGTTTAATTAATAAACAGGAAGCAATAAAACATATTATTGATAATTAATGTATCATAATACGGTACACTTAACACAAAAATTAATATATAATAGCATAAATATTGTACAGCTAAGATATAAATTTGAATATGGGCCGGAGGCTTTGGTCGCGTGCTTTGTCAGCAAATTAACACACTGACGTCATAACTCATCACTCGCTACCCCTCTCCTTCACTGCCTACCTCCAACACCCTACCTCCCTCCCTCCCTCTCTCACTAATTCTCCCCCTCCCTCACTACTTCCCTCTCTTCCTACCTCCCTCCCTGCCTGCCTCCTAGCATCTCTCCCTCCCTCTCTAACTTAATGCCTCCCACCCAAGCTCTCCCATCCATCCACTCACCAGTCAGCCATCACTGACACCATGTGTGCATTTGGAGCCGACATGGTGCACAGATGTTGTTTGATTGTGCAGATATGTAAAACAAAGTCACGGAATGAACACTCCAGCCTTGTGACAAATCAAAACAATGGGAACAATAGGCCGTGAATCTGTGACATCACAGGGTAGAAGGCACTCTACAGTTGTGGCGCCCGACATGGACAGTGAGTAAACTAAACCATCTCCCACCCACTCGCCCACCACTCTAAGTCGGCACGAGACTTGGCGGACTGCTTCCTCACCTGAACTTAGTTCGTGTAGCGTGAAACCACAACCCCAATCGGGAAACTGGAACTTTCAGATTACTAAAGTTCGCAAACCAAGTGGCTGTCTGTATTAACAAGAATTTTACCAACTTATTTTCCAAATGTACTAAACTGGTTTACAAATTCATTAGTTATAATTATAAAAGTCTCAGCTAATAGGTTATGCAACATATCGGTAGAATGATTTCTTGGTATAAATATACTGTTATTAAACAGGATCCTTGTGAAGAAAGTAGCAGTGAGGAGCCGTCCTTGGCAGATGAATTACCTCCACAGCCTCCACCTCGCACAGATTCACTCACACGTTCTATGATTGAGAATCAGCTTGCGAATGAGCTTCAGGATGGCAATGGTTCAGACACTGCACCTGAAGATAATACTGAAGATTATGAAGAGGAAGATAGTTCAGGATGTAAGAATGTCAGAAAACTACGCTGTATCATTTATAAATATATTTATGCTTGATATTTCATAATTAGTAAATTCAGCTAACTATATGGGTATGTTTATACTGCTTTATTAATTTGACAATGTAAGGTTTGAGGAAATTGAAAGTATAGATATTATAAATGTGTGTGTACCAACCTAGTTGTGCTTGTGGGGGTTGAGCTCTGGCTCTTTGGTCCCGCCTCTCAACTGTCAGTCAACTGGTAATTACCTAAGTGTAATTACCTAAGTGTAGTTACAGGATGAGAGCTACGCTCGTGGTGTCCCGTCTTCCCAGCACTCTTTGTCATATAACGCTTTGAAACTACTGACGGTCTTGGCCTCCACCACCTTCTCACTTAACTTGTTCCAACCGTCTACCACTCTATTTGCGAAGGTGAATTTTCTTATATTTCTTCGGCATCTGTGTTTAGCTAGTTTAAATCTGTGACCTCTTGTTCTTGAAGTTCCAGGTCTCAGGAAGTCTTCCCTGTCGATTTTATCAATTCCTGTTACTATTTTGTACGTAGTGATCATATCACCTCTTTTTCTTCTGTCTTCTAGTTTTGGCATATTTAATGCTTCTAACCTCTCCTCGTAGCTCTTGCCCTTCAGTTCTGGGAGCCACTTAGTAGCATGTCTTTGCACCTTTTCCAGTTTGTTGATGTGCTTCTTAAGATATGGGCACCACACAACAGCTGCATATTCTAGCTTTGGCCTAACAAAAGTCATGAACAATTTCTTTAGTATATCGCCATCCATGTATTTAAATGCAATTCTGAAGTTAGAAAGCATTGCATAGGCTCCTTGCACAATATTCTTTATGTGGTCCTCAGGTGATAGTTTTCTATCTAGAACCACTCCTAGATCTCTTTCTTTATCAGAATTCTTTAAAGATTTCTCACATAATATATAGGTTGTGTGGGGTCTATGTTCTCCTATTCCACATTCCATAACATGACATTTATTAACATTAAATTCCATTTGCCATGTGGTGCTCCATATACTTATTTTGTCCAGGTCTTCTTGAAGGGCATGACAATCATCTAAATATCTTATCCTTCCTATTATCTTAGCATCATCAGCAAACATGTTCATATAATTCTGTATACCAACTGGTAGATCATTTATGTACACAATAAACATCACTGGTGCAAGAACTGAACCCTGTGGTACTCCACTTGTGACATTTCTCCATTCCGACACATTGCCTCTGATTACTGCCCTCATTTTTCTATCAGTCAGAAAATTTTTCATCCATGATAGAAGCTTACCTGTCACCCCTCCAATATTTTCCAGTTTCCAGAACAACCTCTTATGTGGAACTCTGTCGAAAGCCTTTTTTAGGTCCAGATAAATGCAGTCAACCCAACCATCTCTTTCCTGTAATATCTCTGTGACTCGATCATAGAAACTGAGTAAATTCGATACACAGGATCTTCCAGATCGAAAACCATACTGTCTGTCTGATATTATATCATTTCTCTCCAGGTGTTCTACCCATTTAGTTTTGATTAGCTTTTCCAATACTTTCACTATTACACTTGTCAATGATACAGGTCTATAATTGAGGGGGTCTTCCCTGCTGCCACTTTTGTAGATTGGAACTATGTTAGCCTGTTTCCACACGTCTGCTACGATTCCCGTACACAGGGATGCCTGAAAGATCAGGTGAAGTGGAATGCTGAGTTCAGATGCACATTCTCTCAGAACCCATGGTGAAACGCCATCTGGGCCAGCTGCTTTGTTCTTCCCGAGCTCCTTTAGCATATTTTCCACTTCATCTCTAGACACCTCTATCCGCTCTATGTTGTTCTCTGGAATTCTTATTGTGTCTGGTTCTCTGAAGATTTCATTTTGTACAAACACACTTTGGAACTTTTCATTTAATGTTTCACACATTTCCTTTTCATTTTCCGTGAATCTGTTTCCCATTTTCAACCTCTGGATATTATCCTTTACCTGCAATTTGTTGTTTATGAATTTGTAGAATAGGCCCGGTTCTGTTTTACATTTATCTGCTATCCCTTTTTCAAAATTTCTTTCTGCCTCTCTCCTTACTGCTGTATAGTTGTTTCTCGCATCTTTGTATCGCTGGTATGTTTGGGGGTTTGGCCTCTTCCTATACTGATTCCATTTTTGTGTCTTTTGGTCTCTTGCCCTCTCACAATTTCTGTCGAACCAATCCTGTTTTCTGGCCCTGCGTCTCTGTTTTGGTATGAATGTTTGTGTGCCTTCCTCGTATAGTTTTAAAAATTTGGCATACATTTCATTTACTTCCCTGCCTAGCAACAATTCTGTCCAATTACACTCATTAAAAAAATTTCGAAGTTCCCCATAGTTGCCTCTCCTTAAATCGAGTTTATCAACTGTTTCAATATCCCCATTTTCTTCTAGATGATATCTTAAAGCATATTTAATGTCTAACAGGACGTGATCACTCTTTCCCAAGGGAGGAAGGTACTGGATGTCAAAAATCTCTTCTTCTTTCCTGGTGAATACTAGATCCAGTACTGACGGTACATCTCCTTCCCTCATTCTTGTGGCTTGCTTTATGTGTTGATACAAGAATGTCTCCAGTTCACTCCACTCCAGAATGAGTGGTGTACAGGTTCCTGAGCCTATTGGGCTGTGTCATATCTACACATGAAACGGTGTATGGAGTCTGCCTCCACCACATTACTTCCTAAAGCATTCCATTTATTAACTATTCTGGCACTAAAAAAAATTCCTAATGTGTCTATGGCTTATTTGGGCACTCAATTTCTACCTGTCCCCCCCTAGTGTGTGTGTGTGTGTGTGCGCCCCTTGTGTTATATAACCCATCTTTATCTACCCTATCAATTCCCTTGAGAATCTTGTATGTGGTGATCATGTCCCCCCAAACTCGTGTGTCATCCAGTGACATGAGGTTTAATTTGTGTGTGTGTGTAATTACCTAAGTGTAGTTACAGGATGAGAGCTAAGCTCGTGGTGTCCCATCTTCCCAGTACTCTTTGTCGTATAACACTTTGAAACTACTGACGTTTTGGCCGCCTCCACCTTCTCACTTAGCTTTTTCTAACTGTCTACCACTCTGTTTGCAAAAGAAAACTTTCTAATTTTTTTCAGCACCTCTGTTTTCTTAGCTTGAAACTGTGTCCTCTTGTTCATGATGTTGCTGGTTTCAGGAATTCCTCCTTGTCAATTTGATCGATTCCTGTTAGAATTTTGTATGTGGTGATCATATTGCCTCTTTTTTTTCTATCTTCTAGTTTTGGCATGTTTAATGTCTGTAGTCTCTCCTCATAACTCTTGTTTTTCAGTTCCAGAAGCCATTTTGTAGCATGCCGCTGCACCTCTTTCAATTTCTTGATGTGCTTCTTGAGAGTTGGGCACCATGCAACTGCTGCATATTCCAGTTTTGGTCTCACAAAAGTCATGAACAATTTCTTTAGTATTTCACCATCCATTTAATTAAAAGCAAGTATGAAGTTGGAAAGCAATGCATACGTTCTGCTCACAATGTTCTTTGTGTGTTCTTCTGGCGACAGCTTACAATCCAAAACCACCCCGAGGTCTCATTCTTTATTAGAGTTCTGTAACTATATTCCACATAATTTGTAAGTTGGGTGTGGTCTATTTTCTCCGAATCCACATATCCATAACACAGCATTTATCCACATTGAATTTCATTTGGGAGTCTCCGGGGCTCACCCAGAAAATGGCGTTTCATTACATTCAACTCTGGTTTTTTGGTCCCAAATTTGGACGCTCCAGCTCAACATGTCTGGGTTGCACCAGTACATTCCTTGCCCCTCCTATTGGATGACACATTGCCACAGATCCATCTCGTTCTTGAAGTAGACATTTGGTTAATTCCCTGGACGTCCAAGCTGTGCCAGTACTGGCATGTCTCCATCTAATTGGGGTTAAGTGATTCATTTGGCATGGGGCGACAGGCACACCACATTAGAGTCCCTTTGTTTGGGCTCATTCTCACCCCTCGTTTTTTTACACGCTTTGCCTGAGTCGAAGGTACCCTCTTTCTCTTAGGGTTCTGGCCTGCCTCAATGACTAGCTGGTGTGGGGCACCCAGCTGATCTGCTTGTCTGCTGGCCAGGGATCTGCTGCTTTCTCAGCCGGGTTTGGGTTCCTAGTGAACTGGCAGAAGTCCCATTTGGTTCCACCACAGGTTCAGACTTGGCTGGGCCTTGTTTGAGACTCTCGGTCGACTTCGCTAGGCAGCCTTGTCCCGGCTGCAGCATTACCATCTGTTGGTCTTGAACGGGTACTTGATGACTGCAGTTGCTTGAGCAGCTGTGCGGGAGCCTTGGTTATGCTCTTCTTGTGTTTCCCTTGGGCAGGGTTTGATTTTAAAGGCTGTTTTGATTTCTGCCATGGCTCTTCAGCCATGGCAGTGATTGCTGGGTGCAGCAGATTTCGGAAGCCCTTCTCTGGCTTCCTCTTCAGCTTTTTTGGGGTTTGGTTCCCTGGGACCTAACCCACCTTCACTCAACGTCTTCACAGATGCCTCCGATCTCAGTTGGGGCTTTGTGACCTGCTGGTCAGGGGCCACAGTCCCCTTGCCTAGTTCTCACAGGTACTGTGTGGGAGATTGTGGTTGTGTGGCATGCACTGAGGAGGGTTTAGATTCCTCCAGGCTCTGTTGTCCAGCTCTGTTTAGACGAGCCGGACATAACCACTCCCCACACCCACTCACAGCACTCAATTGCTGCTACCCACTTGTGACATCTGTACTTAATAAATGAAGCACAGAACTAATGGATGACCAGCAAGATACTCATATCATAATGGATCAGCAGAGACGCCGATTCAAGTTTGTCATAACAATAGCAGTAATCATGAAATAAACTAAACTCAGGTGGGAGCAGGTCGTAGAGGTGATGAGCCATATGTTACACAACGAAATAATGCAACCAAATAAGAGGCTTTTTATGATGACCAGACCACACACTAGAAATTGAAGAGACGACGACGTTTCGGTCCGTCCTGGACCATTCTCAAGTCGATTGTCGACTTGACAATCGACTTGAGAATGGTCCAGGACGGACCGAAACGTCGTCGTCTCTTCAATTTCTAGTGTGTGGTCTGGTCATCATACTTCAGCCACGTTATTGTGACTCATCGCCTGCACAAGAGGCTTTTTATTTTTTATTTATTAAAGTAAATATTATGTTATACTGAACAAACAATTTTATAATTTTAATATATGCATTAGAGCAAATATTTTGTAGTGTAAGTATTTGATAAGCGAGGTTTACCTCTATGATCAAATGCCATCGTGTGTCATTCACTGATCCCAGATACTAATGCTCTGTGATTGGAATTTCTGTCTTGAATCAAGTGATACTAAATCTTGGCATCATTTTGCCCAAATTATCCAGAGACTAACTAGTGTTATTGATGTCTGAATCCGAGCATGCTCAATGTATGTGAATAGTATTCATCATTTGTTTCTACTATATATTCATTTTGTAATTTGTTCTCAATTTGCAGATGTTCCAATCCGACCATTGCCAGCAGAACCTCCCACAGATGGCTCTGGGCATGACACAACCCTACCAACAAATCCAGATCATCATAATGCCTTGTAAGTTATTACTGTATTTCATTCTTGTTTCCAATGAACTGTGCCCAGCATATACTTATAATATTCTCATTAACATTATTAATTATATATTATTATAAGGACTATATAAGTGGTGTTCCTATCACATTTTCTGTGGGGCCTTTGGCTCTCTGAAGCTATCCAAACTGACTTATGCAATATTATTTTGGGGTCATCAGTCCCGGGAGTTCTTTATGCCTACCAGAGATCACGAGCCAGAACCTGGTACCCACAGAGAGGTGCAGGGAGCAAGGGCCATATGAGCACTCTACATTTAGAGTATGTCATATCTGCCATCAACCGGGGAGGGCACCCAGAAAGATAGGCGAAGCAATACAAACCCCCAACTGATGAAAATTGCAACCTACATCCAAACAGAGCCAATGAACTCCCCCCAAAGAAGAAAAACAAGCAAATCGTCATCCAACTAGCATGCCTGCTCGTTATCACACCCCTCCCTTCCCCTAAAAGGGGGAAAGGGGGGGGGGAGTCCACTTAGGCAGCTTGTCACCCCAGTTCTTTACTGATGTGCATGGTTTTCTAACATCTCCTCTGGCCTCGCTTTCCTGTCTGGATTTATCCCTGTGTGGCTGTGCCAGCTGTGTGTGGTGGCCAGGTGTTCTGTGGTACGCAGGGCTGCATGCACTTAGGACCTCACTCCCATAGAGGCCTCTGTCTTGGGATTTGGAGGGGCTTCTTGGGATTTTCGTCTGGCTCTGGGTAGGGAGTGATTTGTTGCTGGGCGGGGCGCACTGTGGCCTGCGCAGCCTGCACACTTGTGGTGGCAAACGATTCTCTCTGGCTGCCAGTTTGTTTGTGTCTGGTATTTCTGTGGTTTTGCTTTCATTTCTAGCTTTTCTGTTGGTGGAGGTCTACCTAGCTTCCCATTAGGTTCTCCTAAGTTGTGTTTGGTGGTCCTCATCTGGTATCCTCGAGCTTCCAGGACTGCTACTGGTGGTCAGTTTGTCTGGTATTAGATAGGGTTCAACCGGCCTAGCTCGCCCAGTGCCTGGGTTCCCCATAGGGATTGCTCCCACCTGCGGGCCCTGAAAATCCCCATATGGCTCGGGGTGACCATGAGCTTGTCTTCCAAGTCTTCTCTCGCCTTGTGCGAGATCGAAAAGTTGTTCGTTGCCCGCCCTGTCTCAGGGTGACAATCATCCATACTGCCTCAGTCATGCTGCCTGTTGGGTCGGTGACGCTTACGACCGAAAGTCCTGCGGAATTTGTTCTCCCTTGTCCTCCAGTTTACCCATTCTTTGTCTAGAGATCTTAGGGGTCAGGTGGCGGCTGCATTGCATGCTAGGTTTTCTTTGTTGCAACAAGTCAGGCTGGTTCCCCATTTGGAAGCCCTGGAGCTGCCCCACTTGGATTTTAGGGACCAGGATCTGGGGGCATTGGTCGCCTCAGTCTTTGTTCAGTCCACGCTCAAGATTCCTTCCCAGGTGGGTGTGGTTTGCTCTGCTCCTTCCCCTCTCTTCCTGCTCCCAAACATCTGAGGGTTTTGGAGTCAGGGCAGCTCAGGATGAGACTCGTGTGGCTTTGGGAACTGCTCCCTACTGATGCGGGTGCAGAGGTAGTTGAGCCCAATTTTCCCACCAAAGTTTCTGAGTTGACCTGGCAGACTCGCTTCATTAAAGCTTTTTCCCTGGACTCTGTCTTTTCTTCTGGGGTGGTGGGTGTGGATGAGGACTCTACCCCGGGGCCTTTGTTGGGAGTCTGCTTGGAGCTCTTGGACTGCTTTTGACCCTGCTTGGGCCCTTGTGCCTTTTGGGCGAGGATTATTGCTGCAGGGGCAAGGATTTTCATATCTGCTTTCCCTGTATGAATTTGAGTTGGGTGTGGCTTCCCCTCGGGTTCATTTCTGGGTGCCTTTGGGTTCCTTGAATTCGTCCATCCATAGGTTTTCATCCTCTCGGATTTTCCCTGTGGAGGTTCGGGAGGTGCTTGGTGCTTACTTCCTTTGAGACCCGTTTTTCGCCTCTATAATGGATCTGTCTTCGTTCATGATCGGTTCTTTTTCCTCGTATTGGGCGTGTTGCGAGGTTTCAGAGTCTTCCTGGCTGGCAGACTGCCCTTTCTTTTCGCTTAGAATTTGGTTGGTGCGGCCGAGGGTGCATCATGTTTTGTGTCCGGTTGCGACTCCGCTGTTATTTGCGCGCCACGGCTTCTGTGTCTGTGGTCGTGCTTTGGGTTGATCCGGTTTCCCTACTTCCCTGTTCGCGGGTGCGAGTCTCTCAGGTCGTCCACAGGGTTATTAAGGCTAGCCAGCCTGCGGTCTATCCCCGTGCCCATGATGTCTGCAAGTTCGCGGCTCTTGCCGCCTTCTTTGGCAATGTGTCCTGGGCTGACATTTGGGCGTGGGGATTTTGGCGGTCGCACAGGGTCCTGGCTGCTCATTACCTTGTAATACATTCCTGGGCCCAGTCGGGCCTGTGTCACTTTGGGCTGGCAGATGCAGCCAGTTGTCTCGACTTCGGGTTAAGGAGTGAGCAGCAACCGCCTCCCACGTAAGTCCCTATTCTTTTCCTCTGGGTAGTTAGCTCCTGGGAGCCGTAGGAGCTCCCCGGGGGCTTCCCCCCAGAATACCAGCGTTGAATGTAATGAAACGCCATTTTCTGGGCGAGTCCCGGAGGCTCCCCGGCATCCCTTCCTCTCTCTGGTCGGCGTTTTTTTTTTTCGCGTGTTTTGACATCCAGCCTCAAAACTGGGTTGTTGATTGCCGGCGCGGTAGGTCTGGGGCTACCCCTTCCCCCTCCCAGGGAGGGGGGGCTGCACAGACAGCAGCGCGACGACGGGTGACGTCATACTAGGTTGCTCATTTTTGTTTGGGGAGTTCTATCCACTCGTTCGGCTTTTGGTTGCAATTTTCACCAGAATAGGGCTTGTTTTGGGACGCCTACCTTTCTGGGTGCCTAACCCGGTCGATGGCAGACATAGAATGCTTCCAATTACACGGGGGTTTCTATAAGCCATTTCTTCCCTTGCCTCTCTAGAAGGGGCCAGGTTCTGGCTCGTGGTCCCTGGTAGGCCCATTAGAACTCCATACACATTTCTGATGTCAAAGTCTGACATTAGCATATCAGCCTAGTAAGCTCCGGGGAGACTCCGGGACTCACCCAAAAAATGACGTTTCATTACATTCTACGCTGGTTTTTTGGGGGCTCAATGGAATTCCTTAGTGAGTGCCTTTTTGCCCCAGCACTTTCTCATTAGATGGGTATGGTGCAATTCCATGCTCAGGTTCCCACTCTTTCGGCTGTTTTGGCAGCGGATGACCATTGAGCTCGCGGTCATTTGGCCTCGGTCTTGCACTTTTTTGGTCTTCTGGAGTTGGCCTCGGACTGACTTTCGGAGGATGTGGGGATGTTTAGCGAGGGGCTGTTGGCTGGGGTTCTGGTTTTCAGTGCTGAGGCATCGGCTGCCCTTCTGAAGCTGTTTGTGCCGATTCTCTGTGAGGCGGTTTCAAGGTTTTTTCCTCGCGTCTCACGTGTCAGCAGGCTGTCCTTGCTCTTTTTGGATTCAGCTTGGGCCCTGGCCTTGCAGTCTTCGTCTCCATTCTGTCCCCGGCTCTGTTATTTCCGGAGGGCTGGGTTGCGCAGTCTTTGTCAGCTGCTTTCATCAGTTGCCGTCCCATTTCCAATTTATTGGTGCTCCAGGTGAGAGTTTGGAGGTTCAGTCCTCTCGGGGTGGTCATGCCATGGCTCAGGTTTAAGGAGGTCGAGGTGGGCCTTTGATGCCAATTTCTGAACAGGTGTGTCTTCAGGGGTCTTCTTTATCTGGTCGGTGCGGTGCTTGCTCTGTGCAGAACCTTTTCAAAGGTTGTTCGATCCTTTCACAGGTCACCCCGTTGACAGGGCATTGGGGGGGGGGGAGGGAACTTAGTCCCAGAATTTGTAGGCTTGTCAAGTCGTCTCTTCCGGCCTTTGGTGGCATTGAGTGGCTCCTCCTCCTCCTGCCGAAGGTTTGGGGCTGGTAGGTCAGGCTTCTTCCCCATCTCTCTGTCGGGTCATCTTGGAGTCAGTTTGCTTGGGCGTGGTCGAAACGACTTCATCCCTCAGGTGGGGTTCCTGCTTGTTTCCGGTTCCGAAGTGGGACTGTGCAGATCTTTGGCTCATTCTGGACTTGTACTGTATGCCCCTCCTTTTGGATGACCACATTGTCCCAAGTCCGGCTTCTTCTCGAGCCGGCCTCTGGAGTTCAAGGATGCTTATTGGCACATTCCTATTCATCCAGGATTCAGGGATTAGTTAGGGTTCATGGTAAGGGGTGGGGTACAGTCTTACCGTTTTCGTTGTCTTCCCTTTGGTCGGTGCCATGGCGCCTTCCCCTTCCCTCGCTCGATGTGTTCACGGACGCCTCTTCTTTCGGCTGGGGCTTTTTGACCAGCGCTCGTCAGGCTGGTCAGGGGCATTGGGTTCCATTCTTCCATTAGCCTCACAGCACGATGAGTGAGATTGTAGCTGTGAACACGTGCTGTGGGGGCTTCCAATCGCTTGGGGCTCTGTGATCTGGCTCAATTCGAACTGCTTCCCTGTGGTTCTTTGTCTCAGCCGGGGGGGGGGGGGGGTATCTCTGCGGTCTCTGGCTCTTTGGGGCTGGTCGCTTCGGGTAGCTCTTTTGCCGAGTTCTCGGGGTTTAGTATTCCCGGAGGTGGACTTCTTTGCGTCGGCGTGGTCCCAGTGTCTCCCATTGTACAGGGCGCCATTCCCCGACTGCAAGGTCATCGTGGTTAATGCTTTTTGGTAGGACTGGTTGAGGTGGGGGTTTACCTTTATCCCCTGGTCCAATTGTTGCTCCAGATTTGTAACGTACGTTTATGTTACGTTGTTGGGTAGATTAGATACAGTGTTTAGTGAGTTTCATATTTATTTAGTAGTCCTGGATACAGCAGTGTCGTAGACGTTGAGACGGAGCTTGGAGCAGAGCAGAGAGCTGAGTGAGGCCGGAGTCACGGAGCTCTGTGGGAGAGCGTTGCAGCT